AAGTGTCTGAGAGTGCAAGCCTGAGAATGCACGTCTGAGAGTGCAAGCGCCAGCTGCAGCCAGACCCTTCTCTGTTTTTTTGGCAAATGCAAACTGTCACCAAAATAAAGGTGTGACATGCATCACAAAGGAGAAGTTGAGTTTATGATGCATGCTGTTTACAACATCAGTCATGTTGTAAGGCTTTTTCAGGCTCATTCATGACAGAAAATGCGCTCACTTTGATGTGAACATGCTTAACGGAACATGCAAGAAGCAGAAATATCCAGTACTCATTTATTTTGTGCCAAGTTTGGTCCTGCCCCAATGCAACTGGCCAGGTCGCTGAAAAAAACAGATTGCATTTGCACTTTGGCACTGCTAATCATGCATGTCTATAATGACCTCTCGCTGTTCATTATCTGAATGCATATGCCTCCATTCTTGCTTTCAGCATTTGCTGTTTTATGGAAAAAGCAAACTGTTTAATGCACCAAAATAAAAGGTGCGACGTGTCACAAAAGAAAAGCTGAATTTATGATGCATGCTGTTTACAACATCTGTCATCTTGCACCAAAGGCTTTTTAAGGGCCACTGAGGACAGAACATTTGCTCATTTTGAGGTTAGCATGCTAAACGAAACATACAAGAACACTTAAAGGTTCCAAAGGCATTTTGCAGTGATGCCATAGAACAGGACTGTCCAAACCTGTTCCTTGTGAGCCACTGTTCTGCAGAGTTTAGCTCTAACCAGAATAAACACACTTTAACCAAGGTCTTCAGACTCGCTAGAAGTGTGTTGGAGCTAAACTCTGCAGGACTTGGCCTTCCAAACCATTTTTGGGTTCCCCAAAGAACGTTTCAGAAACGATTTCATTTATTTCTTAGTTTGAAGAACATTTGAATCATCTAAAGAACCTTTTTCCACTATAAAGAACTTTTTGTGCAATGGAAAGGTTCCATGGATGTTGAAGGTTCTTCATGGAACCATCAATGCCAATAAAGAACCTTAATTTTTAAGAGTGTAAAGAAATTTTAATCTAAATCTAAAGAACCTTTCTCTACTAGAAGAAACCTTTTGTCCACTGGAAAGATTCCATGGAATTTTAAAGAACCTTTAGCAGCAGAAACATCCAATTAATTCTGTGCCAATTTTTGAGCAAAAATATCAAACAAAACGTTGTCAAAACAAGTTTCAAGCACTCAAGTTTCACACCATTTGTTATTGCTACCATTCCCCTGCTGGAAAATCCTGCAGAAACAGTCGGCTAAAAGATGGTGGCTAGATTTTGAAATACAGTCGTTATTTCTTTGTTTACAGCATGGTGATTACTCAAACTCATATGGTCTTTCTCATATTGTTTGATTTTTATTTCGTCATTGCTTTCCACAGATGGGAGAACAAGAACCCAGTGACAGGCTGAGAGGAGACCAGCCGAAAGAGACGAAGGAAAATGGCACGGGAAGTTTCTCCCAGTTCTCCTCTAGCGTACGAACCATGGTGCGCATTCGCCAGAAGTACCAGGCCATGAAGAAACGGCGTCTTGAGATAGCAGCGGTGTCGTCCCAGAGCTTCATGTCTCCACGGTCCACCAGCCCAAAGTTTTTCACCTTTGAAAATCTTCAAGACACCATAAACTCTAACCCCGCTTCCCCACGCAAGCGGAAGAAAAAGAGGAAGGCGCGGGTTTTGTATCCGAGCAGCATTTTGAGAGCCGTACCCACAAAAGAGAGAAGCCGTGCAAAGAACTGCCTCTACTTGCTGTGCATCATCGTATTTCTACAAATTTACAACGCCATTGAGAACTTGGACGACCATGTGCTTAAATATGATTTAGACGGACTGGAGAAAACCCTTAAAAGGGAAGTGTTTGGCCAACAAGAAGTTGCAGAGAGACTTCTGGGTCATTTACATGATTATTTGTCAACTTATGTACACAATAAACCTTTAGTGTTGTCGCTCCATGGATCCACTGGAGTTGGGAAGAGCCATGTTGGCCGATTACTGGCTCAGCATTTCAGCTCGGTTGTTGGCGAGGGCTTGGTGATGCAGTACTTCGTTCTGCACCATTGCCCAACAGACGACGATATCCCGCAATGCACCAAATCTCTGGACTCTCACATCTCTGAAATGGTCACTCAGGCTGAGGAAGAGGAGAAGATACCGGTCTTTATCTTCGATGAAGTGGAGCACATGCCCAGGGAGTTGCTGGACACACTGCAAGACCTGATTCATCCCAAAAACAACAACGAATACTTAAACGCCATCTACATTCTCATCAGCAACTTGGGACATGAAGACATCACCAAGTTCGTTCTGCACAACTCCAGCGTCGCCGTCTCAGGCCGTCTGAGCTTGAGTCAGGAGCTGAACCCTTGGTTGCGTAGCTACGTTGAAAGATACCACATGCTATTTTTGGAGGCAGAGCTCCTGCCCTTTATGCTTTTGGAGAAGAGCCACGTAATGGATTGTTTTATTGACGAAATGTCCAGGGAAGGATTCTACCCAGATCGCTCCCATGTAGAAAGGCTTGCGGAAGAACTATCATACTATATAGTTGGCGAACGGGAATTTTCTCACACTGGATGCAGGCAGGTTGTGGCAAAAGTGAACCTTCTTTGAAACAAAATCTGCCGTGCAGATGGGCAACGTGAGGAAAACATTATTAGTGCCATGAGAATGACCATTTTGTCACATTTCATTGTGCATTCAGTGTAAAAAAAAAATTGTTGTACAGTTGTACATAACATTTGTAAAAACAGAGGTATACAGTACCGTAAAGTTTGGGGTCGGTAAGATTTTTTAAATATTTTTAAAATAAATATCTTCTGCTCATCAAGGCTGCATTTATTTGATTAAAAATACAGTAAAAACACTAATATTGTTTTCTGTGTGAATATATGTTAAAATGTAATTTATTCCTGTGATCAAAGCTGAATTTTCAGCATCATTACTCCAGTCTTCAGTGTCACATGATCTTCAGAAATCATTCTAATATGCTGATTTGCTGCTCAAGAAACCATGATACATTTTTTTTCAGGATTATTTGATGAATAGAACATTTAAAAACAGCATTTATTTGAATACACCTTTGTAACTTTATAAGTGTATTTACTGTCACTTTTGATCAATTTAATGCATCCTTGCTGAATAAAAGTATTAATTTATTTGAAAAAAATAAATAATTCTAACCCCAGACTTTTGAACAGTACTGTATTTTTCCTCATACTTGTACTGGGAAGCAGGTCCATGAAACAAGCACAACTCAAAATAACACAAAACAACATAAAAATTTTCTTCGTTTATTAAAATGTCTTAATTTCCACTGGAAAAATGAGGTACAAAGACCAACTTACTCAAGATTGTAAAATTTGTTATTATATATAATAACAAAATATATTATAGTAATATGGAAAAAACAGTTGGTATGTACAACGCATTGATATCTGTGCCCATAAAGAGTTCAATGCACAAAAAGCTAATTTGTACACCGAAACATATTCGAAATGGTTAGCTAGCGGCATTTTTTCCCACAATACAGAGTTGCTCTCTAGCCATCAATGAGTGTGTAATAGATAGTGTTGCAAGCTCTGTATTTTTCCTCATACTTGTACTGGGAAGCAGGTCCATGAAACAAGCACAACTCAAAATAACACAAAACAACATAAAAATTTTCTTCGTTTATTAAAATGTCTTAATTTCCACTGGAAAAATGAGGTACAAAGACCAACTTACTCAAGATTGTAAAATTTGTTATTATATATAATAACAAAATATATTATAGTAATATGGAAAAAACAGTTGGTATGTACAACGCATTGATATCTGTGCCCATAAAGAGTTCAATGCACAAAAAGCTCATTTGTACACTTTTGAAATGGTTTGCTAGCGGCATATTTTGCCACAAGACAGAGTTGCTCTCTAACCATCAATGAGTGTGTAATAGATAGTGTTGCAAGCTCTAAAAATACGCATGCTGTCTGTTCAGTTTCCTGTGAGGCCTAAAGCCCTAGAAGTGCAACATCACTCTAATGCAGCATCCTGAGAAATAACCTCAACTACAACCATGCAAATTTATGATCTTTGCTCACCGACGCTATAAATCAAATGCTACAAATCACCAGAAAAACGCTCCAAGCTCGCAAATCTACCGCTACTTGTGTAATTTGGTTTGCTGCAGGTGCTCTACGTAAATATACGGCTTTCGTTAAATAAATTAGGTGATCTGCAAATATTTCCCTTAGAAGGCCAGGTCTTACGGCCGGTTGAGATTGAATCACTCAGCTCCCACAAACTTGCAAAAAGCATCAACATGCCGCTAAGTGTTTTTAGTCATCGAGTGCTAGTGTGTGATGTAGGAGGGACAACATGAGGATTGGGTCCCTCTTCTTCTGTGTCTTTTGCTCTACGGCAGCTATGCTTCCAGTTCAAAACCCAGTCCTACTTTGTGTCCACAGATGGGCGTTTCCCCCCTTTACAATGGGAAAAGGGGAAAATAAGACATTAAAATATACACAAAGAGGTTAATAAACACCCTAAACAAATAAAACATTGGTCACAAGATGACTGGAGTGAAATACTAGTGTATTACATATTGTGAAGTATATACCGTGTACTATTTAAGTTTTGAAATAGTATTTTGTACTTTTTTTGGCAAATTGTATGCAGAGAACACCTTTTAACAGTAGTATGCGACATTGCTGTCACATAATCTCGTGTTGCATGTTTAAATTAGTGAAATAAAAAAATTAAATAAAAGTACATTGTAATCAATTTTAATTATATTAAAAAAAAAGTAGTACACCCCAAAATGAAAATTTTACTCACATTTTACTCACATTTATGAGACATTTACTCACCCTCAGGCCATCCAAGATGTAGATGAGTTTGTTTCTTCATAAGAACAGATTTGGAGAAATGTAGCATTCCATCACTTGCTCACCAATGGATCCTCTGCAGTGAATGGGTGCCGTCAGAATGAGAGTCCAAACAGCTGATATAAACATCACAATAATCCACAAGTAATCCACACCACGTTAAGACATTTTTACTTTCAAATCAATTCTAGCAAGATTATTTCCCATAATCCATAATAACGCTTCCTCCAGTGATAAAGTCCATCTTCTGTTCTCCTCTCACATCAAAATCCACCCACATATTTGTTTAGAGCTGTTTCAGACCATTTTTGCTTGTAAACAGTGCTTGATCTGTACATATGTCTCTCCTGATTCAGATGAGACGACTTTTTCACTGAAAAAAAAAAATTATTATGGGCTCATATTTTAGCAATCGTTTGAAGTTAAAACGTCTTAATAATAGATTTATTTCTTACAGACACGCATCTCAAGATGTTAATTGATAGACTGGAGTGGTGTGGATTATTGTGATGTTTTTATCAGCTGTTTGGACTCTCATTCTGACGGCACCCATTCACTGCAGAGGATCCTTTGGTGAGACAGTGATGCAATGCTACATTTCTCCAAATCGGTTCCCATGAAGAAACAAACTCATCTACATTTTAGATGGACCGAGGGTGAGAAAAGTTTCTGTTCCCTTAATAATGTCTCAACTTGAAAAAAAAAATAATGAAGATGTTAGTGATTATTACGTTTTGAATATGAATATTTTTCTTACAAAAACGCATTGATTCGCTACAGGAGGCCTTTGTTCACCCCCCCGGAGCAGTGTGAGACAAATTTTTTTTATGGATGGGCACTTTTTATTTAACTTCTTTTGGACTGAAGCATGCAACGGTGAGTGCCATGAAACAGCTTGAAAGATCAAAGACCATTTTTAATATAACTCTGACTGGATTCGTCTGAAAGAAGAAAGTCATATACACCTAGGATGACTTGAGGGTGAGTAATTTATGGGCTAATTTTCATTTTTGGGTGAACTAACCCTTTAATATTAAGCCTAAAATGTGTTTTAATATCACTATTAATAATCTTTAATTGCAAGATATTTAAAGTGTACCTGGTGTATACTTGCAATAGTTCCACTTTAGCACAATCAGTATATCTTTAGTTGGACTTCAGCACTACTTCTGCACAATTAAAGTGCATTAAGTACAAAATTAGCTGTTCCAATTTAGCAGACTTTAGCTTTAAGTGTACCAGTTTAGGTAATTGCAGGGTGTTTTTATTAAGCAAATAAATATGTAAATATATTTGTAGTATACTTAGCACAAAATAAATGTATTATAGTATATTTTTTCACTAGGGTTGTGCTGTTCATTTCATAAACAATCATTTTAACATGATTACCAGGTCGAAGACTCTGAGTGTAACCAACTCCAATCAGACTGGCATTGTTCACTTTGGCCTGTTATGAGGAAATAATGAAAGAATAAAACATGCTCAGGTTGGTCATTCCAAGCTTTGAATATTTAATATAACTTCCCTGTGAGCTTTTCAAGGGCAGATTTAGACCTGAAACAATCCACGAAAAACATGGACGCAGATGCTTCTAGTTACACAAACCTTGATTTCACGTGGTGTTGTGAAATGTGTCAGAACTCGAATTATGTGTCAGAAAACACGTCTGCATTTGCATTATCAGCATTGCTGTCATGTACAACAGAACCACAAGCTTGCAATGCATTAGCCGAGAATTTGCATGTGTGATTGCGTACTTGCAAAGACTATGTTTTTTTGGTTTAACTGAATCCAAATGAAGTGAATGATCCTTTTCTCAACAACATAATGTGGTTGTGTGAAGATTGTTAACTTACAGACACCGAGGCATCTTTATCCAGCTGGTATTTTGCAGCAACTCCAAAGCGTGTGTTGTTGCTGCCTGAAGTCCAGGCCAAAGTGACGGCCGTCTCCAGCTGATCACTGACCTTCTGATAGACAGATCCTCCGAACTCAGCTCCGTCATTACTGATGACAGATTTATTCAAACATCCATTAAATATCGAAGAAAAGGTTAAGTAAAAAATCTAGAATAAATAAGTAATACAGTGCTTACATATATTTAATAAAACTCTCTCTCTAGGGTTTTTTCTTTCTGGCTAACTAACAAGTTTACAGTCACTGAATGACTTGCCTGAGGTAAATGTAACATTATGTGACGATGTTTAGTAGCTGTTTCATTGATGTCTTTCCGCGGTTGAAACACTGATTGAGTGATTTCGTGAGACGTTTCTTTTAACGTAGTTTCTGATGATCTTGTGCTGTCACTGAGCTTAAAACTCAGTTTCATATAAAAAGTGACAAAGCACAAAGTTATTACTGGAGGGGAAAACAGCATAGACTAAAAGATCGATTCTTGCGATTTAAGAATTGATATCGGTTTCAATAAAATGAGAATTTATTAAAATATCAGCAGGGTCGTAGCTAGCTAAATCAAAATATTTAATATTTAAAAACATAAAAAAGGTAATTGCGAGCTTATATTCTGAGAAATAAGTCTGAGAATTGCGAGATATAAACTCAAAATTGCAAGATATAAATGTACATAAAATTCAAACTTTATTCCTCGCAGTTCTGATTTTTTGTTTCTGCCACAGAATAAAAAAATAAAAGTAATTGTGACTTTTTTCTCACAATTGTGAGCTTATAAATCACAATTCTGACTTAATATCTTCCAAAAAAGGAAAAAAGTCCGAATTGTGAGATATAAACTCAGAATTGCAAGAAAAAGTCAGAATTGTGAAATGAAAAGTTGCAACTTCCTTTTTTATTTTTTTATCCCGCGGCAGAATCAAGCTTCTATAGCAATTTCTACAATATCAACTTAAAATCCACTGATCGTGTGGTTTTTCATTGATTCTTACACGTTGGTGTGAAGCTGGAAGTCTCCGGCCTTGTATCCCAGAGCAAAGTTATTTTGCACCAGTTTGGATTTGGCCGTGTCAAAGGCCATCTGGTAGCCCACAAGCCAGCCTTCGTATCCCAGAACCGCTGCAGAGTGCACAACCGGACCCTCGAAATCAATGTCGCAGCTCACATTGACGAAGTCACGCTTGTAGCCAGTCTTCAGTTTACCGCTTTTCTTGCTAAAGAAAGAATCAGACTGTCAAAGACACCAAACCAAATCATCAAACCAGCCTTAATGCGTCAGATACTAACAATTCACCCTGTGTTTGGTACAAAAGACGTATCCAGGGCCACTTTCAACCCCTGCGCCAGCTGAGACGACGATACAGCAAATTATGAATATGATAGCAAACCATTGTGATCATCCTCTATGCGACTCTAAGGGTTCAAAGTTCATGTGGAGAGTTTGATCTGACCTGGTCTTCCACAGACACTTCTGTACTGAACATGTTGTCTGTGTTCCACTTCTGGTTCAAACTCAATCCAAGATCCTTCATCTTATACTTGGTCTCCAAACTCCCGCCGGCTTTTCCCGTGTCCGTGTTGGTGGATCCAGATGTGTTGAACTCCTGCAGTTGGATTAGAGTTTATGAACAGGATTAATACATATATATAAACTAGGCAATAGGCATGCATGAGCAACAAACAGCTTTTTTAAACATATCGGTCTGTCAACTTAGAAAAACACTAGACTGTTACCTACTTTTTGTGTTGTACATTATGTTTTGATTTCAGTTTGTAGTTTGTAATTTCACTAAGTCTAAGTGCATTTTTGTTTAAAATTGAGAAAATAGTATAGATTAATAATATACTTTTTTTACTGACAATTAATTTCTAATTACGAAATGATCTGTAGTGATATATATAAGCAAAGACAATTCATGGGCTGATATTTGGTCATTTTAAGCTTTTTAGCTTTCTACCAATGAGTATTATTGTAATATTATTCATATAGTATTATACTATTTATTAATATTTTCAATTAATTTTTAGTTTTATATGTTCAGTTTTCATTTTAGTTTTAGTAAATGTATTTTTGCTTTTGACATTTTATTAGTTTTTGTTTTTATATATTATTTCTATATTTAATATATGATTATTTATATAGTTTTCATCTTAAACTTATTTCAGTTAGTTGCCAAGGCAACATTTCTCATTTTTATTCAAGTTTAAGTTTTTCAATATTTCTCATTTATTTCAGTTACCGAATTACCAATTTTTCTATTACCGATTTTTTTAAAACAGATTTTTTAATAATATTAATTTGAGTTATAGTTAAAAACAACCACACTGCTATGGAAAACCCTGTAATTATCAATTACAAAATTACTGAATTTTTAGCAATTTTTTAATAACAAACTTTTAATAGTGTTCATTTTAGTTTTAGTTAAAAATAACAACACTGTTTCCGACAACCCTGTAATTAACAGTTAAAAATATCTGTCAGAAAGTCTATATTTGTGCATTATTAAAAACAACACATTAAATAAACAATAAAACAGACATTGAACATGAAGAGGACAGTGTGAGCTGGTGTCTCATGACATTACTGGATGGCAGATGGCGTGTGATGTGACAGAATTAGGTTTATTTTGATTGTGACCCAGAAACACAGACGGGACGGGACACTTACTTAACTCTAGAGTGATGTTGGTTGTGTAGTCAGAGAGAAATGATTCAATGAGACCACAGAGATGTGTGGGCCTTTAGAGTGAAACCTGCCACATCACACAAACACTCCTACAATAATCTTACCATCTAAATGCATTTCCCAAAATGTGCATCAAAGACATAAAAATTGCGTTAATGTTTACATACATGACAATTAAGCATTAAGGTAACGAAATTTGCACCTTAAGGGAATATTTCACCCAAAAATTAACATTTTCTGTACATTTTCTCACTCTCAGGCCATCCAAGATGTAGATGAGTTTGAGATTTGGAGAAATGTAGCATTGCATCACTTGCTCACCAATGGATCCTCTGCAGTGAATGGGTGCCGTCAGAATGAGAGTCCAAACAGCCGATAAAAACATCACAATAAGCAAAAAGCTGCGTATTTGTAAGAAACAAATTGATCATTAAGGTGTTTTAACTTCAAACCATTGCTTCTGGCTAAAATATGAGTCCTCTATAATATTGCTTTCTCTAATGAAAAAGCTGTCTGGTCTGAATCAGGAGAGAAATCTGCACAGATCAAGCATCGTTTACAAGCTAAAACAGCTCTAAACAAATATGTGGGTGGATTTTGATGCGAGAGACAACAGGAGATGGACTTTTTCACTGGAGGAAGCTTCATTATGGATTATGGACTCATATTCTGCCCAGAAGTTAAAAACGTCTTAATGATGGATTTATTTCTAACAAACTCGCATCTTTTGGCTTCACAAGATGTTAACTGATGGACTGGAGTGGTGTGGATTATTGTGATGTTTTTATCAGCTGTTTGGACTCTCATTCTGACGGCACCCATTCACTGCAGAGCATCCATTGGTGAGCAAGTGATGCAATGCTACATTTCTCCAAATCTGATGAAGAAACAAAATCATCTACATCTTGGGTAGCTTGAGGGTGAGAACATTTTCAGCAAATTTTCATTTTTGGGTGAACTATTCCTTTAATGGTCTTTAAAATAGACCTACATTTTATTTATGCTAAATATAATTTTGATTTATTTTGGCCAATGTGTATTAAAAAAAAATAAAGAAAGTACTACTACAAACTAAACAACAACTAACTCACCACTCCATTTTGAGATTTAGTGTTGAGGTCCAATTTAACAATCCCAAAACCTACAAACAAAACAAAGACATGAATTACAGCAGAATGCAATTCATCCTGTAAAGCAAACATCTTCTCCAAAACGCTGCGAGTTTTCTCACCGAAACCCTTGCTGAAAATGTCCTTGGCCGCTTTTCCCAGGTCTGAGTATGCAGGAGGAACAGCCATTATATCTGATACATAAACGAAAGGGAAAATATCAGCATATTTGAACCATCACTAGTGTAGTAAGCTACAAGTAATGTCAAAAGAAAGCGGGGATGAAACCGCAGATAAAGCAAACCCACAAGATGGCATAATCAGTTACCAAACCCACTGTGTGAATGTAGTTCATAGTAGTTGTTCATTTTCTAGCCTTGTAAAATATTCTTTCATAATCTGTACATGATTGCATTCTGACTGCCAACACATTTCACTTATAAACTTAATTAAACCATTTTTATGAGGGCCTGTTAGATGCTGGAAAATAAGTGGACAACCAGCAAATTATAATTTGGTTGCATGCAAAAAATAATGCCAGCCAGCCTCCTTCATATACAGTGCATCTATTTGTACATGATTATCCATGTGGGTTTTTTTTATTGTACAAATAAACTGAGATGTACGCAGCATTTTAGAGCATTAAAGATGTCTAAGACACCTAAAAATGCTGCCCATGTAGTGTAGGCATATTTAGTGATATTAGAGCAGCAAAACAGGGCAAAACGTCACATTTAATCATTACCAAAGATATTCCACAGCACAAGACTACACATTTAACAAGGAAAAGTTGTTTAAATATAGACTATGGGGTGAGATTATGAAAAGGAGCTGCTGTGCAGTGCTATAAAGACACTACGCACAACTGAGTCAATATTTAAAGTTGTTAAAAATATAATGATAAATTCGTACCGAGGATATTGTTGCTGTTGAGACAGAAATAAAATGATAATGCAAAATGCTTTGTCCACCTTTGCCTCTTAAAGAGAACCATACAAATGATGCATGCAGAATCTATAACAGGGAGATACTATTATAATTATTTAATATAATAAAATTTTGAATTAAAAAAACTGTTTATTTTAGTTTTAGTTACAGTTTTCGTAATTTTGTTGTTTTGTCATTTTTTATTTTTTTATTTTATGATTTTTTTTTAATCATTTTCAGTTTTGTTTTCATTATTGTTTTTAAATATGTCTATACAGGTTTAATACTATGGAGGGCGAAACCTGCAAAAACAATAAATAAATAAATACACAAATAAATAAATAAATATGCAAATAAATAAATAAATGTGTGTATAAATACACAAATTATTGTTTAAATACATATAGAAATAATTAAACATGTGACTAAAGTAGGCAAATAAATAAAATAAATTAGTGGACAAATGGAAAACGTTTAAAGAAATGCTAAACTCATCCTATTTATTTTCCTTTGATCACTCATTTATTTCTGAATGTAGTTCCACATTTATTTTTCCTCTGCACAACATGCTAATTTGCCTACTTTCATCACATGTATAATTATTTATTTATGCATTTAAACAAGAATACGTGTATTTATGCACACATTTATTTATTTATTTGTGTATTTATGTATTTATTTATTGTTTTTGCAGGTTTCGTCCTCCATGTGATACATGTTTGTTTGAGTTATTTTAGTACATCAAGACAAACTAAATGAAAATGAGAAATAAGAAACTAGCTGAAATAAAATAAGTTGAATATTAAAATAAGTTACGTCTGAGCAATAAATGATGAAGACACTGTAAAAAAGTTTTGATGTGACAAAAAGGCATATGAAAAGAACAAAATATTTTATTTTCTGTCTTTTTTTTAATAAATCGATGTGAATTAAAAGCGCCTGAAATTTAAGGTGAAACCGAATCTTTCCCTAATAAAATGCATAGTAGTTTCGTTTACAACGTCTCCAAAAACAACTTCAGTAAAGGTTTATTGAGCTCATTTTCCTCATATGATGTTGTAACGTGTGCGTTTCACATTCAGGCCAGTGAACCTTCAAGAAACGCGTACGTTCCGTTCCACCTTAACAGGACTGTTGTGTTTGTCAGAAATATGGCGCTCCGATAAAAACACACCCACACACACACACACACACACACACAGAGTCTGCATGAGTCCTATTGACAGAGAGCAGGAAACTTCAGGCTGTCAAAAGATCACACAGAGCTCGCCACTTCACTTATGAGTGCCGTTTACACTACAAATACTGTTTCTGCTGTGCGGGAGGCGCGTTTGTCTCCAAACCCCGCTTTAAAACAAGAAAAATGTCAGTGAACCCGAAATTTGTCAGTCCTTTCCACAGACCGCACTGTTTATCAGCCGCTGCGCCCGCCGGACAAGCCAAACTCACACACCCTGGAAAGGCCATTTTAGCTGGTAAGTGTCTTTTTGTGCTTATGAACCACGTACGAATGTTAATGCTGTGACTGACTCCAGGTCAGCTGTGCCGCGCAGTTTTTGCACTGTCATCCACACTGTTTAGTGTTTACAGTCCTCTGCTCACTTGATCCCTACAGGGCTGTAGTCAGCATCACTGCACAGGCGAGTGAGTATTCAGTGTGCTGGACTGCGATGTGTGTGTCATGCTGTGTGGAACTGATGCAGAGTAACAGAAGAGCTTTGATACAGTGTAGCATTTCTGTGTTATAATGTAACAGTCAAGACTTGCCTGTAACAAAACTAGAGTGTGTCAATCAGAAGTGTCAGGAAAACGTCACATTGCACCCTAACCTGTCCCCACCCCCCAAAAAAAGAATTCATTCATTTTAATTATTTTAATGACAGTTAAGCACATTTTACATCTTAATTCTCAAAACTAAAAAAAAAACCATTTTATTTATTTATTACAAATTTTTTTTTTATATATATAATATTTAATTTTTTCTGTTATTTAATGACATCTGTTTTTAGGATTTTTTTTTCTTTCATGACTTTTTATTATTATGTTCATTATATTTTTTGCACGTTTTTGTAATGTATTGTAACATTTTACTTTGGATTAAATTTTTTTTTACTTCTCGTTATTCTCAAGGATAATTCTCATTAGTGTTTTACAGTATTTAAAAAAAATACCTTAAAATACTGTAATAATATATATATATATTTTTTTTGATCAGCAAATATCAAATAATGATATATAAATACTTTAAAATTTGAATATGTGATTTTATTTTGCATTAAGGTGACGAGGGGGAAGAATGTGCTTCATTGGCATCAAAATAATGTAACAATGCAAAAAAAAAAAAAACTTAATGTTGTATGCAAATGATAATTTCATATTTGTTTCTTTTTATTTTTGGGGTGAAATATGACCCAGACATGTTCTTCACTTTCCTTTATTGTTAAAGTATTTCTTCATCACTGTTATCCATAAGGGCCTTTGATTTACGTTTAATATTTCATGTTGAAACAGTTGAAAAAATTCAAAAGGAATGCTAATGAAATTTCTATTTCTAAATTGCTAATCATTATTATTTTGAGCCAATAAGTTTTAAATTGATCAAATAAGATTATTCATAATGAACATTTTTTATTATATTTTCAGTTGGTATCTCATTTGATTCTTATTTGTATTTCATCCTTTTATGACTGGTTCCAAATTATGATAATATTCCATTAGTAATGCATTAACGTTCTTTTTCTTTATTTCATTCTCTCCTCGGCATCTATGGATAACTTTGTCATCTTAAAAGTGTAGTTATAAGCTGTCTATTTTCCACCCTTCCCTGAAGTGTCCCTAGTTAGTGTGGTTAATGTCTTGCCAGAGCACGTGTCTGAGATTAACAGCACTGACAGTTAATGCAAAACTCATAGTAGTTCCAGTCATATCTAATTATGTGCTGCATGAAGCTCATTCTAGTCTCAGTAATTGCTCAGTGGAGTGATAATGTGCTGGATGCATGATGACGTGATGACAGAGCCTGTGGCATGGACACATTAACACAGTAACATGGAATGCAGATGGTTTGTGAGTGTTGAAATATGTGGTTAACATCTAGAACATGCGCACTGGATTACGGTGCATTTCATAGATGTTCACATTTATGTATTTATTGACCCTAATTATGTTCAGAGGACATGATCCTTGTCTTCAATGGTGCGATGTATTCCAATTGTACCGGCGCTTTTGACAGAAGCATTCATTATAATGTAAATGCTTGCTCCATCTCTGAAAAAACGTTCCTTTTGGCTGACGTTTTGATTGCAAAAGACCAGTCATACTGGTACTCAAACATGAACGGATGGCTCAGCAGATGTCACGCCTGTCACTACTCACGCAAACACTCACACAAGGCCATCGATTGCATCATATAGACTCACTTTGTTTGACTTTAAAGACGTAAAGCAGGAATAGGTGTGTCATTCTGACTGCTGCTTTAATCTGACCAAACATTCCTACTTTACTTAAAGGTTCTAATGTTTTTTTTTTTTAAATAAAGTTTATAAAGTGTTATTTGCTAGCTGTATAAGGAGCGAACTGGATTTGACATTTGCCATCGTACTGAACACATAAGGTAGTTTTATTTTACTGAGGGGAACTTGTATTAGTGGCCCAAACTTCCTTTAAAACTATTGTTTGATGTTTGAAAGAAATTAATAGTTTTATTCAGCAAGATTGCATTAAATTGATCAAAAGTGACAGTAAAGTAATTTATCTACTTCAGATAAATGCTGTTCTGTTGCACTTTCCGTTCATCAAATAATCCTGGACAAAAATGTATCACAGTTTCCACAAAAATAAGAAGCAGCAAAACACATTTTTAACATTGATAATAATAATAATAATAAACATTTCTTGAGCAGCAAATCAGCATATTAGAATCATTTCTGAAGGATCATGTGACATTACATTTTAAAATACATTAGAACAGACAACAGTTAATTGAAATTACAATATTTCACAATATTAGTGTTTTACTGTATTTTTTTGATCAAATAAATACAGCCGTAGTGAGCATAAATGTTTTAAAAACATTTAAAAAATGTACAGACCCAAACTTTTTATATCTAATATTTATATTTGTTTTTAAATCTAATAATATTTATTTATTGTACACATTATTCATATGTGGACATACATGGTGATTTCGGGATGGTTTTTGTGGCTCGGGGAGACTAGCAGGTCAGACAGGTTAACACCTGTTATAAGACACATTAATGTTCGTCAGTTATGTTAAAACCTGTTAAACAGGTATAATGATTTTATAAAGAAAAATATTTGTATATATTAAATGAGCGCTCGCATGATTGTTCCAGGAATCATCAATGATGACAGAACATCATTAAACTGAAGAGGAGACAATTAACAGGAACAATTCAGAGGAACTGTAGTGTATGCACCAACTGTGCTCAGATCAAAAGTTAAGAGATCTCAGTATGAGCTCAAACATTTCTCTGACATGTACAATCATTTTATAGCTCTATACTCTTACTATATGACAACTATTGACTCATTTGTGTTTATTTGAGTAGAAACACCTCAGACAAAGTTTATAATTAAATGAAAAATTGCTTCATTAGCTATGAAAGAGCAACCTCAGAGCAATAATATTTTCTTTTATGTATACAGCTTATAATAATGTCTGCTTGTTGAATCGGATTAATTTGATTGATCACCTGAAGCTTCTCTGCACACATGGCACACAGTAGAAGAATTGTAAATGTGTCAACAAAGTTGAGATCTGATTAAAGAGCAGGACTTCACAGTCACACCCATCTCAGAGCAGGGGGCGGATCCTCTGAGCCAATCACAGAAAGACACGCCCCCTTTTCTGCCGCCTGTTGAGCTACAGATGTGCTTAACACACAGTTAAGGTGGCGACAGATCAATGTGATTTTCATGAGACATTCATAACTCATAACGGTGATCATTGCTGTGAAAACTCATAATACAATACCATTCAAAAGTTTTTTTA